ACAGTAGTCTATATGTAGATTGACATTACTTACTGTACACCTAGGTTTGTATCAAACAGTAACAACTGTACAGTAGTCTATATGTATATTGACATTACTTACTTTACACCTAGGTTTGTATCAAACAGTAACAACTGTACAGTAGTCTATATGTAGATTGACATTACTTACTTTAATATACAGTTTTAACTTCACCTTTGTTATTAAATCTTTGTATCGAATGTTGAGGAGTAATTCATTTTGTTTTCTTTATACAGGAAAATCTGTTTTACTTCATCTTGCGAGAATCTGTTATTCAGAAAAGTAAGTAACTTACCTCATTTTGATTTCTAGAAATTATTAAATAGTGGTTGTCCGTGTCTCTAATTAAATATCAGTGGGTTGAAATATTAACTATAACTAAATACTGTTATTAAGAAAACATTGTATATATATGTAATTTGTTTTTTGCAATGTTTGTAGTGTTTGAGCAAAGACAGAAAATGGAGAAAGAAAGACATTATCAGAATGAAAGAATCTGGCAAGAAAAGTTAAAACAAGGTATAGCTCGGGAAAAGCATCAGAATAAATATAAGGAACCTTCTAACGATTTAAAAGAATCGTCTGATTATATGCACAAATCTCAAAAGCCTATGACGTCTAATAACGGTAGCCCAAGTAATATTACCAAGGTGATTGATAAACCTCCAGATGCTCCAGTCTATCAGTCTGTGCCAGATGCAAGCTTCAAAGAAGACATTGACTTTTTAAATTTCTTGAAGAAGGTAACTCTTACTTGTTAATATTTTATTGACTGTTCTGAGATTTATCAAATTAAGTAATATTCTGACAGTTTAAATGTATGTTTTATTTCTCTGTAGATGAATGGTTTTATTTGAATCTTGTTGTATACGTCTCAGTCATGAAGAATTGGTGGAAGGTCAGGGATGGCTATTGCCACAGACCAGTTCTACACATGTACATTTTCTGTTCTAAAGTATTAGTCATTACTAAAAAAATTCATCTTGCCCACTAACATTAAGTTTCTTCTCCCATTTTAAGTTATTTCTACATCTCAGCAAACCGTCATTATGTATTGAATAACCTGTTGTTCTGTTTACTCAAAAAGTTCTTCTGTGTTTGTTAAATAATTGTTTAGAATTTTACATTGTGACAACTTTATCATATATAATGTTTTCTATTTCACATTTAAACTACTTTATAAAATTAATTAGTGGTATTACTAGGCAAAACACAAACCTCACAGGGTAAAAGTACTTTTATTGAGTATAAAGTCAAATCTTTTTTATTTTTAATTTATTCTTATTGTATATGATAATTAGTCTTACAAACAGTCAGAATTGCAGCAAGGATTCTTTGAGTGGTGGGTGGTAAAAAAACCATCTAACCCACAGATGCACGCTCCTGTTATTATTTTCAAGTTGATCATTTTAATGTGTTATAACTGTACAGTCCGATAAAGCACTTCACACGAGCAGCCACTTGGCAAACACGTGTTCGAAGGCGAATAACGAGTTCAAATAGATAAAGGTGGAGATCACTTTTACTGAAGGCTGTGTCTTATTTTTCTGACTGATTTATCTTCGACGGCAGGTAATTGATAAATAATTAGTCCAACAGAGCGTGATTTATATCTACAAATCTAGCCTTTCTAAGTTGTATTATAATAATTGATACTTTGATCATTTTATGATTAAACATTTTACTCTTCAGTTTTATAGAAATCATTATTATAACACTTTTTTTAATTTTTGAAAATTATAAAAATTGATAATTTATTATAAAGGACTTTTTTATGTCTCATTCTCAGAAGGGTTTTATAAGGAAACATTGACCTCTTGGGTGAACCCTGTTCTCCTTGTAACTTCTGCATGCATAATATAAATTACCTTCCAAAAGGTTACTGAAATTGATTGTATTACATTTCTAGTTTCTGTAGTTAAAATCTTTCAAAATGAGAGGAGCTGTTTTAAAAATACGTAAATTTAGTTAAGACTGAATATATTGTGATTTACTTTTCAAATACTTTCCTCACTGTCAGTAGAATGTTTATTTATAATTTTTATGTATACCAAACAAAGGAAACCTTAGAGACCAATCTAATCATCACATTGTAATAAATTCTGATTAATGGTTTAGCATTAGAATGAAATTGTTAACTAATTACTGCAGTGTGTAAATTTGAAATGATAATAATTACTACAGTAAATAAGTTAATGTTTCTAAATAGTATTAGGTCAATATAGTTTTTGTAGCTAGCTTTATATGAGATATACAGGACAATGTTACGTTATAATTGTCTAATGTTTCTTTTCTGCTTTACTGATTATGATTGATTTACTGTTCATAGAACATCTTTAACCTCTAATAATACAGTAAACATGGATTATATTTTCATTGCTTGTTTATTTTTAAGCTCTGTAGGCCTTGTCTCCTGATAAAAGTCAACCACTTAAAATGTTGTGAAATAAACAAAATTTGGGTGAAAAATTAATTCCAATTTTTGTAAATTTGAGATGAAATTTGATAAGTATTTGGATTATTTTTGTTTCTGTCTTAATTTATTTCTAACTAATTTTTATTAATAGAAAAGAGAACAAACAGGAAAACATGAAGAGGATGAGGAAGAAGAGGTAAAAAAATGTGTAGATTAACATGAAACTAAACTATTTAAAAATAAACTTAAAATAAGACCCAAAACTCAGAGTTTTGGGTCTTATATTAAGTTTATTACACTTTATATGCGATCCTTTGTGCTAACTCTTTTATCAAAATATAAAAATATACATTTCTAACAAATACTTGTTCATCTCCTAATTTATTAACTGAAGCATTTTTTGTCTAAACCAATCTTAAATTCGCTAATCTAATTTGTCCAACAGGCTGTTGATTAAGCCTAAACCAAAAGAACAATGTAACGATTTGAGAAACAAAACAAAAAAAATCAAGATTCACACCAAACTTATTATTCTTGGAACATACACTGTTTCATTTTTAAATAACTATGTTTTTCCCTCTCATAATTGTTTGTCACCTACAGTATTTGTTATAATTTTTACCTATGTATATCCCATAAATATGCCAAGACAATAAACAGTTAAATTATTCAACTTAAAACTCTCCTTTACCTCAGTTACTCATGTTGGGCCTATTTTGACACCTTTGTTTTTCATGAATGGGTTACAACTTTCATAAAAAAACAGAAATGGTTTCCACTCAACAAAATTAATAGGATTTTTTCAAATGTAAAAGTTGATTTAACACTATTTTAGTTCAAAATGAAGATCCAAAGAGTAAAACTAAGTCTTCACACGAACGCCAGTATAGATCCAAAGAGTAAAACTAAGTCTTCACACGAACGCCAGTATAGTAGTAAAAGTATATGATGTGATGGTAGTTGAATAGGGTGGAATCATTAGGAAATATAAAAGATTTTAAAATGTATCAACTTAAAAGATTATCAGACCGAAGGAAATATTATGATTTATTCATCTTGAATTTGACTCCGTGATCTTAATTGTTCTTTCCTTAATGACTTATTTTTACAGATGAAAAAATTTAATTCATTTGCAGAGTGGGAGGAAGCAAAAAAAGAAACTTTAAAAAAAAAAAAAGTAAGTGCTATTAGATGTGATGATGATATCTTCATTATAAAAAAAAACATTCTCACATCAATTCTCTGTTGTTGTTTTGTCTTTCTTATTAAAAACTTGTAGATTTTAACTTTCACACATCTGTTACATGTTTCAGGTTTTTTGTTATTTGAATGATTAAAATTAGATTAAATATGATATTTTTAGTATTATATTTGATTAGTATTAGAATACAAATATTATATTTTAGAAATTTATTGCTGTTATTTGGGCACAAAAATAAAACTATTCGTAAATGACAGTGTATTTATGTTGAATTCTCTTGTTTAATATGATTTTCTTTTTTTGTATCTTTTATTATTATATTACAGAAATGTTGAAATGTGTGTGTGTTACATCTTTTTTGTATGTTGTATTTTATTTAACATGTTAGAGTAGATTTGATTAGTTTTTTCTTCTTGTATTGCAATTTTAAAATGTAGTAAATCGTAGCTATTTTCCATGATTAGAAAACCAAAGAAAAATTACCTCCGAGACCAAAGCCACTGACAAAGAAGGAACAAGAGGCTCAGAGTTATCGAAGATCTAAAGAAGCCGAGAAGCTCCACGAAGAAATCATGCAACAACAGCAGCGGCAACTATTGAGAGAAGAGAAGCGTTTGCAGAAAGAAGCTGAAAGACGCCATAAACTGAATGAAGAGAAATTGCATCACTTACAAGAACAAGCTAGCTTGACAGTTGGAAAATCAAAGAATAGAAACACTAGTACTGTAAAGTCCTCCAAGTTGGATGAGGTGAGAAATGGACAAAATAATAAATAAATTATAAACAGATGTAATAGTTGAAAATGATGTAGCATATAGTTCAGTGTAATTCAGGTTTACAAGTGGTGTAATATAGACATGTCAGTGTAATTAAGCTGGTGACATCAACATGTCAGTGTAATTAAAGCTGGTGACATCAACATGTCAGTGTAATTAAAGCTGGTGACATCAACATGTCAGTGTAATTAAAGCTGGTGACATCATATACATATGTCAGTGTAATTAAAGCTGGTGACATCATATACACACATGTCAGTATAATTAAAGCTGGTGACATCATATACATATGTCAGTGTAATTAAAGCTGGTGACATCATATATACCTTTAATTACACTGACATGTCTTTAATTACACTGACATGATGATGTCACCAGCTTTAATTACACTGATATATGTATATGATGTCACCAGCTTTAATTATACTGACATAGTGTATATGATGTCACCAGCTTTAATTATACTGACATATGTGTATATGATGTCACCAGCTTTAATTACACTGACATGTGTATATATTTGATGTCACCAGTATATAGACATGTCAGT